GTAACGTTTGTTGGAACAAGCCGCGGCTCATTGAACATTAGTCGCCGTCATCGCTTGGGCGAAGTAATTGAGCAGTGGAGGAGAAAAGGAAAGAAAACATGCAAACGTTGGAATAGCGAAATCCCACTTCAGAGGATCATTGCTGTAGTGAAAATCTCGACGCCGCAGTAACAGATGTCGTTCTCATAGCCTTTTGTTTGTAAAAGAGTTCATAGAGATGCTGATCTTTTTTCGATGGCATCAGTCAGACGTGCATCATTTTATATTAAGTCAGTACTTACAGTATGCCTCTACGCTTTCATATGGTTTCCTTCGCCTGATAATCCTGATTGTCTGTTTGCTACAGCTTGGGTTATAGTTTTTACCTGCTGATTCCTTCTAAATTAGATCTAGGTTACCAGCACTGGTAATTGTAGCAGTAGAAAGCAGTTGTATAATAATAGTAGCTGTAGTAGAATTAGTTGTAGTACTAATATGGGGAAGGAAACACGTGACCACATGGTGGTGCTACTTCGTTGGCTGATAGTATTTCGGTATCCGAAGCCAACGCCACGCTATAAACTGCACTGAAACGGTGTTCAGCTGATTAAGTGTGGCAGCTGACATCTCAGCGGACAGTCCTCCCCTGTTCCTCTTTTCTTCCCCCACACAGTGACATTCATTCATGTACTTTAGACGAGGAAAAGGGAAAGAAAGAAACTATATTTGTATCTGTTGAGATATGTAGTTCCACTTGCAGTTGCGTGGTACGGAACATTTGTATAACCGTTTTTCGGTTTGTGACACTCGTATGTATTTTGATAGATCAGCACCAGGAGTCCCTCCTTGAAGAAGGCGAATCCTCCCGCTGGTTGATGAGTTTAGCGTGTTTGTGAATGTTATGTTCTTGGTCAAACATAAGGTGGGTTAAAAAGGCCATTTAAAATTGTACGCACCTTTCGATCAGCCAGAAACTGGCAAACTCGCCAAGCAATCAGACGACTTAGTTGAAAAATGCTCAAATTTACATTCAGAAGGTAGATGTTAGTGAGTCATGAAAATTCTGTTTGTAGGTGGTCAACGAGCTGATGGAAAACGATCAGATGATCAACGAATACGAGGGGCTGTCATCTGATCTACTCGAATGGATACGCTCGACGATCGAGAGGCTAAACGACCGCCATTTTATCAATAGTTTGATCGGTGTGCAAAAGCAGCTGAGCGAGTTCAATAGCTATCGCACAGAAGAGAAGCCGCCAAAGTATGATTTGATAATCAGGGACGACGACATGCGAGGTGTTGACGTATTTTTCTTTTGTTTTGTCCAGGTTCGTGGAAAAGGGCAATCTTGAAGTTCTGCTATTCACATTGCAGTCGAGAATGCGAGCGAACAACCAGAAGCCATATCTGCCACGGGAAGGCAAGATGCTTGCTGACATCAATCGGGCGTGGGAGAATCTGGAGAGAGCAGAACACGAGCGAGAACTGGCGTTGAAGGAGGAGTTGATTCGGCAGGAGAAACTTGAGCAACTGGCTGCTCGCTTCGACCGCAAGGCCGGCATGCGCGAAACGTGGTTGGCTGAAAATCAGCGACTCGTGTCTCAGGTTGTTTTATAGTATAGTTGTTTTTTTTGAATGAGGTCGCGGCTTTTGTTCAGGTGTCCCTTTGTGACTAATTTGGTCATTCAGTCTGTTTTTTTCTTCAGGACAACTTTGGCACGGACTTGGCTTCGGTGGAGGCGGCGACCAAAAAGCACGAGGCGATCGAAACCGACATCTATGCGTACGAGGAGCGCGTCCAGGCGGTGCTGGCGGTCGCTCACGAGTTAGAGGCCGAAAAATACCATGACATCGATCGCATAAACTCCAGGTGAGTCCAGGCGTCGATTTGGAAGCCGTTCGATCATACTTGTTTAGGAAGGAGAACGTGCTGCACCTATGGAACCTGCTGCTGGAGCTGCTGGTGGGCAGGCGCGTGCGCCTCGAACTGAGCATGGTCATCCAACGCATCTTCCAAGACATGATCTACGTGCTCGATTGGATGGACGAACTAAAAGGACGTCTGTTGAGCGAGGACTACGGCAAACACTTGATGGGAGTCGAAGACCTGATCCAAAAACACCAGCTTATCGAGGCGGACGTGAACATCGTCGGTGACCGCGTGAAGGCGGTCTGCCAACAGGCCGAACGGTTCACATTGCCCGAGGGGCCGGATGGATCAGGTAAAAGACGTCGGTCGTAAGCTTCGACGACGAAACCATTGTCGCTCATTGTTTCAGAATATCACCCGGTAGATCCGCAGATTGTTAACGATCAGATCAGACTACTCAAGGAACGTTACAACGATCTACTAGCGATGTTGGACGATCGTCGAAGGCGTTTGGAAGACAACAAGCGCCTTTGCCAGTTTTTCTTGGACGTGGAGGAGTTGGAGCAAGGCTTCAAAGAATTGGAAAAGGTGTTGAATTCGCCGGATGTTGGGCACGACGTCGTTTCCGTGCATCTGCTGCTGTCGAAGCACAAAGTGAGTGCTCGTTTCAATGACCATCGATATCTAGTTTCGTTTCACCGATTGACCCACCGACTAATTGTAGAGTGTCGAAGATGAAATGGGTTCTCTGGAGCGCAACAAAAACACCGTTGTCGACAATGGCCAGCGTTTGATCGAGGAGTCGATTCCTGGTTCTGAACAGATTCAAGAGCAGATCGATCACCTACAGGAGATGTGGGTCGCTCTGTGCAAGCTGGCCGACATGCGAAAGGGCCGGCTTCTTGGGGCGGTCGACTACTATCAGGTAGATAGCGGCTGTTCAAAAGCGTCGGATTAATTCTGTACATCCGTTTGTTTGAAGTTCTTCGCCGAATGTGACGACATCGACGCATGGGTGGTCGATACGTTGCGTATCATCAGCTCGGAGGACGTCGGCAAAGACGAGGCGTCCGTGCAGCAGCTGCTCAAGCAGCACGATACGGTCACCGACGAATTGAACAACGGCCGCAAGCAGATCGACCAGCTGTACCAGCAAGCCAGTCAACTACCCGAAACGGTACCGTCTGATTTTTACTTACTTATATGGGAGTGAATCTTGCGTTTCATCATCGTCATCTTCACCATCATCGTAATCATTATGGTATTCATCTGCCCATTTTAGGCAAAGTCCACACCGGCCGTCACCGATCGCCTGAACAGCGCTGAGAGGAGATACGGCGAGGTACAAGAGATCGCGAAGCTGCGCAAGCAACGTCTTCTGGACGCACTGACACTTCACCAGCTGTTCAACGACGCCGACTCGGTTGAAGCTTGGATCGACGAAAAGGTTCGTGAGTTGTTTTTCTGTGTAGTATGAAATAGTCACTTAACAACGATTGCGGTGAGATGTACATTGGGAAAGGGGATGTGCCGGATGCGGTGGACATCCGATATAAAGGGCGCTTAATTGCTGCGATGGACTTTAGTCAGACTTATAGCTGTGTATCATTGCTCAGCAGGAACTGTTTTGGAGGACCACTCCGGTTAATCAAGCGTATCTAATCGACAACACTGTCCGGTCCGCCCGCCCGTCCGTCCGAGTTTGAAATGAAACCGGCTTATATAACTGGCCCATATGGCTTACTGATGATGATTGATTCGCTGAATCTTCGTTTATGATCTGTTTCTTAGTCGCCATTCGGACGCGATTTTTGAAGGCCTATACGACGTGATCGAAGAGAGAAATCTCAGTCTGTCTGTTCTCCGTTAGAGCAGGTAGCTATTTTGTCTTCAAAGTCATAGAAAGTGTGGAAAAACCATCCTATGAGCAGACGCTACCTGGTCGGAAGTATTCATTTTACTGAATAACAACAGTGCGTCTCTTCGGGGCAAAACTCCAGGCATGTAATAGACTCAGTTATTCTTCCGTTATCCGTTAGACCATCGCATTTGTGCCCATGGCCATATGCCACATAACGGTTAAATAGGAAGCATTGTTTTATATGGTTCCCACATTTTGGTGGTTTTCTAGAAGGTGGAGAAGTGGCTCCTCAAGGGAAATGGTTCAGAATGCAATTCCACGCCAAGCTTCACTAAATATGAAGTCGTACGCCACGTTTCCTCTGTCATGAAAAGTCTTCATATGTTTTGCTTCGACTGCAGTGGTCGATGTTGCACTGCCGGACAACAGTAAACATTAATGAGACGATGCTGTCACTTAACGATCTTTTGTTCATAATATGGCTTATTGTTGGTTGCTGCCGTCATTTTGGTGTGAGCTAGCTAAAGATTGTCTTGTGTTTCAGGCGAAACTGTTGGAATCACTAAAACCGGGCAACGATCTCGAAGAAGTTCACATCATGCGTCATCGATTCCAAACCTTGGAACAGGACATGAATAACCAAGCGGCAAAGGTGGCGACAGTAAATCAACTGTCGCGACAGCTGCTTCACGTTGAGCATCCGAACTCGGACGAAATACTGCAGCGACAGAACCGTCTGAATGCTCGATGGGCTCAACTGCAGGACATGGTGAAGCGGAAGCGCGTCGAGCTCGACCGGGCTTACCGCCTGCAGACGTTCCGAATAGACTGTCAAGAAACTGTGACCTGGATCCAGGACAAGACTCGCGTACTGGAGGACACCGAG